GACCCTGCCCATGATGCGTTCCGCCTCCTGCCGGGACTCGAAGCGCTGACCAGAACCCTTGGCGAGGTAATCCTTCACCAAGGCGCAAGTCGGGGGCGCCAACTCACCGTGGAACTCCTCAAACGATGGGTGATTACCTCGATAGTGGTATGCGTCCGGGAGGTCTGCGGGGTTAAGCTCGCGCTCGTGCTCCACTATCGGGAAATGCCCGCCTGGCGGAACGGGGCACTCGACCCCCATCGGCACGCCGTCCCGGAGCCAGTCTGCGACGACGCGGTCGCAGTCGTCGAGGCGCTCCAGCACGGCTGCGAAGATGTTGTGCCGGAGCGGGGAACTGGCGTGGTGCTGCTCTGCGCGAGCCCGAGAAAGGTCCAGCGCACGACCTACCAGCAGGCGGGCGTACGCCACGTCCTCCTCGGAAGGCTGGGGACGACGCGGCGTCAAGCCGCACGCGCCCGCAAGACCCTGCAATCCGCCGCGCGCCGCCCGCGCCGCCAGGAGAGCAAGGCGCACTGGGGCGAGAGAACTCGCCAGTTGGGCACCTGGCGCCTCTACCAGACAAGCGGGGTTACGCAATCCCGCTGTGCACGTTGCGTCTTCGAGTGCTCTCTGCTCCCGAGGTGTGCGCGTGGCCATGGCCCTCGTCCAGTGGGGCGCCACGCGCCGGTGTCTGTCTGGGGCCTGCTGCGGCGGCGGGCGAACACTGGTCACCGGGCCACGCTGCGCCCACACTGCCACGTCGCGAGCCCAGGCCTCGATCACGCCAGGATGGCCCGCAACTGGCGCGGCAGCATCCGCAGCGCTCCGCCCAAGGGTAACATGCTGCGCACGGCCGCACGCACGACGGCACAGCCGAGGCTCCCACCTGCACGTGCGACCTAACGAGGACGGCACCCGAGGAAAGCATCGGACCCGTACGGGCTGTCTCTCGGCTGCTACGTACATGCATGGGGAGAACACCGTGTCAATGGAGCCGTGGTCTGAAAGCGAGCGCATGCAAGGCATCCGCCATAAATACGATGACGACGGGCACAGGACCATCACCCATGCGCCCAGCCGCTGCCCACTCAGCGAGGCTGGCGGCGGCTTCACAAAGGCGATTTGCGTCGATGACCCTGTCGCTCAGTGGCGGGATTCCCGCTGGGAGTGCTGCTGACCTCACCTTGGTGCGGTGGTTTCGATCCCTGGCCCGGGAGAAGGTGGCCCAAGGAGGCTCCAGAACGAGCACCAACTCGCCGCCCTGATCCACCGCGGCTGCCAGCAGCTCCCGGAGGCGTTGCCCCGGGCTCCGGAGGTCGAGACTCAGGCCGCCAGCATCCAGGATAGGGCGCACTGGCGCGCCGAGCGCCTGGACGCCTGCCGCCAGCGACGCGCTTCCAGCGAAAAGCTCCGCCACGACAACTGCATCTCTCCGCCGCGTTTCGACCAGCTGGACTAAACGCGTCCGCGCTGCAGCCAAGCACTGAATGTCGCGGCACAGGCGGGCACGCAGCTGCGCACGGCTTGCCCCAGTAGGCGGAGAGGTAGAAGGAGGGGTCGGCGAAGCCAGCAGCAAACCTGGCGAAGCGGACGATGGAGGCATAGCGGGCGACGCCGGGGAAGCCGGCGACCTCGCTGGCGAGATCGAAACTGCCGCGGCCACCCCCTCCTCCTCCTCCTCCTGGCCCCCTGCACGCGGCGACGGCCAGGGAGGGGCCCCGAGGCCGGTGGCACACGCAGGCCGCAAAACGCGGCCAAGCGCTGGACCTCGCGGATGAAGCGGCCCCGCGCGATGGGTGTGAGGGTGTTGCCCCTCACCTCCAGGACCAAGATGGCGTCCGTGAGCTCCTTGAGCGTGGTCCCGAAGATGTCGTCGACAGTGGCCGAAACGGCATCGCCACCTAACGCCCGAATGAGGGCGTCCCATGGTTCGGGTGCGAAGCTCAGCGCTGCCGCGGCAGCAGCTGCACGCAACGCCCCGCTACCGCCAGGCTGCTGCGAGGGACCGCCTGCGGTCCCAGCTGCTGAGGCCGAGACCGTGGGCGCAAATGAGGCGCCCGGTGCGGCGGGCGCTGCTGCCGGCGCCGGGCCGCGCGGCGCCCACCCCACCGGCCGGGGCAAAGGCGGCCTGCCGACGGCAACCGCCCCTTGTATCACAGCCCAGGCGTGATCCGATTCCTCGCTGGATGGGCGAAGCCCGCAAAATCCAGTGAGGCTCACCGAGGGATAGGCTCAGCCCGAAAATCCCGCAGACTGAAAACCTCACGCCGTGAGGCACACCCTGTGAGCCAAAATGGCTACGGTCAGTGCAAAGAGGTAAAGAGGGAATAGCAAGACCTTCAAGACAGGTGAACACAATGCGGAACCTGTTCTTTCAACCTCAACACAGGGAGAGCCCGCGACGCACCCACCCCCAGGGTTCTTAGCCCGGGCTCGAATGTTACTTTTCTTCTTAGTAATATTCGTTATCCCATTATTGTTATTCGCATTATTTCTATAACCCGTATACGCCGCAATATTGTATTCGTCGTCAGTTGAGTATTGCTATGATTATTCATCGTGTGTTTACCATGCATATCATGAATAGCATGATCATCTTGAATGTTACCAACGCTATCACTATGAACTGTCTTCTCTATATGGATCGAACTACACATGTGCTTATCATCTTGAATTGGAAAACTAATCATGAGTGTTGCATAATTATTACGGGTGGTATGCGTAACTATCGGTATGACGAGTTCCACCCATCGCCTTATTATTCGTGGTTGCCATGTTAACAATACCCGTATACGACAGAACGATCAGATAGCACACAAAAACAAAACAAACACGTAGCACCGCATGACCCCCAGACCCCTGAATCGGGACATACCAGATAGCACGCGCGTCCTCTCCGAAGACAGTCGATAGGGACAACACGGAGGGGAAACTTCAGATAGCACACGCCCAACAGGAGGCAGGGCGGGGGGGGGGCGGGATGGCGCCGACGCTCAAAACATCATCGCAACCGCGGACTCGCCGCCCGGGACATCCTCGCAACCGCGGCGCCGCCGCTCGATCCTCGCAAGTGCGGCGCCGCCGCTCGACACGTCCTCACAACCGCGGCACGGCGCCACCGCTCGAGACACCCGCACAACCGCGGCACCGCCACTCGTGGCACCCTCACAGCCGCGGAACCGCCGCCCGAGGCATCCTCGCAGACACGGGGCCGCCGCCGCAACTCAATCGGACTCACGCTGCCTCGCTCAGACCCTCCACCTGACAGATAGGCCCAAAAGGCAGAAGCGGGGCGAGAGGGAGGAGGGTGGAAGAGCCTTTATGCCGGCACGGCGGCTTCCAAAAAGCTAATTGGCAGCTGGTCCCACTCTGAAGCCAGTGAAAGGCCCCGTTGGCGGCAAGTAGGTCGTCGCGTTGGGGACCTTTTGGGCCGATGAAGGGGCCCAAAACCAGAACGACATCGCAAACAAGTCGATTTGTAGAGGACGTTTCGAGTGAGACGGCCGTTTCGATGATATCAGGCCCCCCCATCCGAATTCATGGTTTGAGGATGTCTCGAGCGAAACGGCCATTTCTCAGCCACTCGAGCGATATCGCGATGCCCCGAGGGGGAAGGGGCGCGCCAGGCAGATAGCACAGTGCCCCGAAGGGGGGACGCACTCGTTCCTCCTCCTCCTCCTGCTCCTCCTCCTCCTCTTCCTCCTCCTGTTCCTCCTCCTCCTCCTTTTTGTCCTCTTCCTCCTCCTTGTCCTCCTCATTTCCCTCCTCCTCCTCCTCCTCCTGTTCCTCCTCCTCCTTCTCCTCCCTGTCATCCTCCTCCTCCTCTTCCTCCTCATCATCATAATCATTATCATCATGATCATCATCATCATCATCATCATCATCATCATCATCATCATCATCATCATCATCATCATCGTCATCGTCATCGTCATCATTAGAATCATCAGCAACAGTATCACCAGCATCAGCATATCATCACCATCATCATCATCGCCACCATCATCACTATCATCAACAACATCACAATCATCATCATCATCATCATCATCATCATCGTCATCATCATCATCATCATCGCTCCTCCTCCACCATGTCCATATCCTCCTCCTCCCCCTCATCATCATCATCATCGTCATCATCATCATCAGCATCATCATCATCATCAACATCATGATCATGATGTTCCTCCTCCTCCTCATTATCCTCACGCTGCTCCTCGCGCTGCTCCCCGATCCCTTGCTGGAGATGATAAGGATGGACTCGTGGATGAAGGATATGGATGATAGTTGCCCTTCTCCGATCGAGCCTCACACTAAGTTCGAGGGGCAACGCGCACGTCGCGAAACTCGGCCTGCAAATGCGAGCGACAGCACGGCAGACGGAGCACCGCTGGGACCGACTGCAAGCCTGGGCAGCGCCAGGAACATTCGGGCAGACTCGGGCTGAATATCGATCATGCATGCTTGGCCGTGTCCTCAAAATACATGGGGCCAGGCAAGCTTTATCAACGTTCACCCCGAACCGCATTGAAGCCTCCAATACGGCTGATGGCGGCCCAGGTGGCGTTGCCGCAACAGCGCCTGGAGCTGAATTATGCTGCGGGCAAGACTTGCATCCAGGTCCACTGCGCCTTAGAGTTTCTGGGAAGCGGCACCAAAAGGCCGAGGCGGTGCGGTAAAACATCTAGCCTCTAGGGCCAGATGTTTCTCATCCCTCTGGTTTCTGGAGAAGGGGGCCCGGAACTCCAAGACGCAACGGTTATGGATGCAACTCTTGCCCGCGGATGTGGCTCATGGCCCCCGTCACTGCGCCCGACATCAGCGTTGACTGCTACTGGATCTGCTGGTCCAGCGAAGGCTGGCCAGGCAGCGGCGGCCGCGGCCTCTGGATCTGGGTCGGGCCCCTTGTGCCGTAGACCGATGGGAGGCCCGTGGGTGCCCCGACCTTAGGGGCGAGCGCCGCGAGCGCTGCTGGTGCTGCTGCGGCTATTGCGGTTGGCGCCGCTGCGGCTGCTGCTCCTACTGCTGCTGTTGCCGCTGCGGCTGATGCTGCTGCGGTTGGCGCCGATGCAGCTGGTGGCGGTACTGCCGCTGATGCCGCTGCAGCTGCTGCCGGTGCCGCTGCGGCTGCTGCCGCTGCTCCTGCCGCTGCGGCTGGCGCCGCTTGCCTAGTGGACTGGCTTGGGGCTCTTGGCGGCTGGCGGCGGCGGTGACGCCGCTGCTGCCGGCGCCGCTGCGGCGTGGCGCTGCTGCTGCCGCTGGTAGCGCTGCGGCTGGCGTCGCGCGAAACGCCTTGGCTAGCGTTCGCGGCGCTGGCAGCGGCGCGGCTGAGTTCCAGGCGGCGCTGGCGCTGGCCGCGGCTTCGGCGCTGCCGTCGCCGCCGTCGCCGACGCGCCCGCGCGCGGGGGCTTGGCGCCCTGTCCGAGTCGTCGCTCTCCGCGGCGCCCCTGCCGCCACTGCCGCCCTCGCCGCCCTCGCCGCCCCCGCCGCCGCCGCGCGCCATAGGGCGCGGCGGGCTCGGCGGCCGCGGCGGGTCTGCGACCGCAAGCCCAAAAATATAGCCAAATACGTTGCGGCGCACGTCGCGCCGCGCGATGCCGCGCCACGCATCGCGCGCTAAGTTCACCGAGCGGGCTCGACGCTCGAGCGCTCGAGACATCCTCTCAACCGAGGCGCCGCCGCTCGATGGGCCATCGCAACCGCGGCGCCGCCGCTCAGGACATCGCAGCAGCCGCGGAGCCGCCGCTCGAGACGCCCTCGCAGACGCAGGGCCGCCGCCGCAACTCACTCGCCCAGACCCTGCGCCGGTCGAATAAGTCCAAGAGGAGGCAGGGGCGGGGCGAGAAGGAGCCTCGATGCCAGCCAGCACGGCGGCCTCCACAATGCTGATGGGCAGCTGGCCCCACTCTGGAACCACTTACGGTCGTCCTGGGCGCGCGCATCTCAAACGCCACCATCATCTGATCGGCATTGAGCTTGAATTCGCCGTGCCAACCTGTCCACGATGCGCCGCACTGCCACTGGACTTGACCACTGTCCGAACCCAGATAGATGAGACCAGCTTGGAAGGGCAAGGCTACGTCCTTGTTGCGGTACGCGTGTAGAACGCGAGTGCGAGGACCTGCCGCCATGGTGCCACCTCAAAGGAGCGGGAGCAGCAATCGAAACAAACAGATGCCTCGAGTCGAGCCGTAAATATGCTCAGACTGTGCACACCTGGGCGCCCGGGGAAGGATAGAGGAGGCATGGGGGGGCCAGAGCGCTCCGAAAAGGGGCCCAAAGAGAAACTCAGGAGACGGAAGAGACGGAGGAGACAGGATTTCAAGCGAAGACGCTGCGAATGCAGTTTGCTGGGGGCGTCTCTCTCTCTCTCTCTCTCTCTCTCTCTCTCTCTCTCTCTCTCTCTCTCTCTCTCTCTAGAGAGAGAGAGAGAGAGAGAGAGGGAGAGGGAGAGGGGAGAGGGGAGAGAGAGAGAGAGAGAGAGAGAGAGAGAGAGAGAGAGAGAGAGAGAGAGAGCCTCATGTAACAGAAGACGTCTGGACCACGCGGCCCCAACATCTCAATTGTCCGAAGATGTCTCGAGCGAAACGGCAATGTTCAACGATCCGCTGGCGCGAGCAAGCTCCGCATTTCGTTGTTCGGGCATGTCTCGAGCGAAAGCTTCGCGTTTAACGGGGGGCTGCTGAAACACACGACGTCCGCATCTCATTTGTTTCGAAGATGACTCGACCGCATTTGAAGGTTAAACTCATCCCCCACCGAACCGCCGGCCCCGAGATGCTCGCCCCCGGGCGCGAACATAGGACGCCGAAGCTGGAAACCTCGTGGCCCTCTGCAGGACGCAGAGAGAGCACTGAGGGAAGGGGCAAAGCGCTGCATTGGCAGCGCGACGCTGCCCCGGCAGCGCCGCCTCTCCTTCGCGCCTCGCGGCCGGAAAAAAAAGCAAGCGCAGGGGCGGCGGCGCTGCGCGGCAGCCAGGGCTCGGGTCGGCATCTGTCGCGGCTTGGGACCGTCGCTGCTGTTGCGCAGCTGACGCAGCTGTTCTCCAAGAGTGCGCAGCTGTCGCGGCTGTCGCGGCTTGGAACGCCTGAACGGGAGACCCTGGTGCGCGCCTTCCGCTCGACCCCGCTCTTGCCACGCCGCCTCTGCTGCCCGGCGCCCCTCGCTCTGCGCGCGGCGCGCGAAGTTTTCGCGACGTTGGAGACCCGCGCGGCCCAGGCACATGGTGGATTTGCAACGAGCGCCCTTGAACGCCGAGCAAAACAAGCATATTGCAAATTGACCACCTGCGCAGCCTATCCATGTTTCAGGCTTCAGGGTCACTGGATTCGTCGCAGACAGAGCGGCGCTCCAAGACACCTTGTTTTCCAAAAATTGCACGTGCCGCAAGTCACGACGCGCTTTGGATAGTCGCGGTTGCTGACGTGCTCCTCCAGGGTCTTGGACGCAGGCTCGAACTTCTCGACTGCTTTGCTCGGGGCGGCCTTAGTCTTAGCCTTCGCTCTTTCAACTGCGGGCGCCTCGCTGCTGGAGCAGCTGTCCTCTGCGGAGCCGCCGCTGGAGCTGCCGCGGGAACCGCCGCTGGAGCCGCCGTTGCAACCGCCTGCCTCGGCAACTCCAGCGGCGTCGGCAACTCCGTCGGCGCCGTCGGCGTCGGACACTACTGCGTCGGCTTCGGCGCCCGAGCTGCCGCAACCAAGGCTCGAGGGAACCGCTGAGCTCGAAGGGGCCGCAGGGCTCGAGGGGGCCGTAGGGCTCGAAGGGGCCGCGTGGCTCGATGAAGCCGCGCGGCTCGAGGGGGCCGCGCGGCTCGAGGAGGCCGCGGGGCTCGAGGGGGCCGCGCGGCTCGAGGAAGCCGCGCGGCTCGAGGGGGGCGCGCGGCTCGAGGGGGCCGCGGGGCTGGAGGGGGCCGCGCGGCTCGAAGAGGGGCGCGCCCCGCGCGGGACGTCGTCGCCCCCGCGCCCCCCTTCGAGCCGCGCGGCCCCCATCGAGCCCCGCGGGCTCCTCGAGCCGCGCGGCCCCCTCGAGCCCTGCGGCCCCCATCGAGCCCGGCTGGGGCCGAGCCCCGCCGAGGATGATTGCGCTGCGCAGGCGCCCTGCAGGGGCGACGCCTGGGCCCGACGCCGCGCGCAGAGGTCACGGGCGCCAGCGGCATCGGGGGCCATCTTAAATTCTCACGCCATTCAGGCCAAGCCTTTTGGCAATCACGCCAAGACTGCCCTTGGGAGGGCCGGAAGAGCCACTCGCCCCCAAAAAACTTGTAAGAATCACGCGCCCACCGCCAGACCCCGACGGCTCGGCGGCGCAGCTGCGAACCTTGCCAGCGGGCCGCGGCTGCCATCCACGAGCGGTCGTGGAATCGCAATGCTCGATGAGCAACTCTGCCTGGGGCGGACAAGGCGAAATATTGCAGGTGACCAGCCCATCCGCGCTGCATCCTGCGGCATGTCTGTGGCCAAGGCTCGATGTTATACCTGAGACGGACCTCTGTAATCGTGGTCATCGCAGCCTTCATATACTCTGCAGCGCCCTCGCCTCGTGTGCGTGTGTGTGTGTGTGCGTGTGTGTGTGTGTGTGTGCGTGTGCGTGTGCGTGTGCGTGTGCGCGTGTGCATGCGTGCGCGTGTGCGCGTGCGTGCGTGCGCGCGCGCGTGCGTGTGCGCGCGTGTGTGTGTGTGTGTGTGTGGGGGGGGGGGCGGATCATTCTCATAAGCATAGTGTTGTGGCACCTAGAGATCATGTTAACCGCTGAGACTGTGATATGCAGGCTACCCATACAATACGTGATGGCAGGCCTAACACATCTTTCTAGGGTGTGCCATCTTTTCTGTAAACTAATCTTCGGATTTGTTAAAGTAGTTCGGCGGGCTGCCCAAGCGCGCCACGCGCGCTGGATTCTATTAAACACTTCATGAGTACAGCTCCTATCAAACGCTAAAAATGTGCCCGGGACTTCGAGGCCTACAGCGCGCTCTCTACACGGGATGATCCGTTGACTGACGCGAAGCGTGCCGATGTGAGAAGGATAAGTGTGGCACCACTCCATCTCGTCAACTGGGGCCTCCAGACCTCGCCGGTACACAATCCTCAGCCACTCCTCTGTCATCGCCATGGCCATCGAGGCCCGGCGCGCGAGAAGCCAGCAATTATCGGCAAAGCTCAGAGCACATAAACCTTCAGCCTCTTCACCAGGGCAAGTCAAACACAGCCCCAGCCGTTCTTTCGACGCAGGTTTTGAAATATCAACGCGTTCATCAAAATAAAATATTGCTAAGCTCGGGAGCCGCGGGGTCGCCTTGGACCAGGGATTTCCCTCGCCGAATCGGGTCCGCGAGGGCGTTCCCAGGCAGACGGGCGCGCGCGCGACCTACGCGTCTCCCTGGCCCAAAAACCAATCGCAACCCGGGGCGCCCCACGTTCTCGAGACGCCTCGCCAGAGCGGGGTGTTCTATAAAATCGCAAAACTGCCTCATGTCCCTCCGACAACAACAGGGGGGTCCTTATACTCACAGAACTTCTCTACAAGGTGTCGCAGACTGCATATTACTTCATGGACTTGATACGTCCTACGACAGGCAAGCTGCTGCTCGCATCCACCACCCTCTATCGCACCTCGTTGGGCCTCGAGAGCCATCATGCTCAACGCTTTCTGGATCACCGAAATGACGGCTATCGGTCGGAACTGGGCAACCCTGCTCGCGTTCGGCACCATTCGAATCATCTGGATCACGTGCTGCCCCCAGGACTCATCGAAGAACTCCGAAACGTGATTTTGCAGCCGCAGACGAAAAGCTCCCAAGGGTTGCTCTAGAACGGCATCCTCTAAGGCCTGCAGCATCTCTCCGACTACCGCGCCAGTCTCATCGCACGACTTGCTGTTTTTCAACCGACCAACGCATGACTTCAGGAGCGACAGGCTGAGTGGGACCTCCTGCCGTTGCTCCTGCCCCGTCCAATGTTTATTGATCCACTCTGGCAGAGCCCGATCACAAGGTTCATCTCGAAACAGACTGGCGTAGAATATGCGGACCTCCGCGCGCCCGTCTGCTCCTGCGGTCGCCGCGCCGCCGCCGGCGGTGTCCAGGCTGAACACGGGGCGACCGCTCTTGAAGGCCTCGCCCGCCTTCCCGCGGCCGCAGAGGCGCTCGAGGTGGACGGCTGCGCACCGCCCCCGCATGGCCCGCTTCAGCTTGCAGACGGGCGGGCCTAGCAGGCGGCGCACGCGGGGGTCATCCTCTTGGGCGCGCGCGCCCTCTTCAGGGCCTCGAGCTGCAGCAGCTGCGGGCCCCCAGGCGGGGGCCCCCACCGGCCTCGGCGCTTTTCGTGGCCGGCGGCCGCCGCGGCGTTGCAGATCGCCGTCGCCAGGGCCCCCAGCGGCACGATGCCCCCGCGATCGCGGCGGGCGTCTGCGGGCGGCGGCTGGAGGTGGGCCCGTAGCTCGGCGCCAGCGCCCACGCGGCGCTGCGCGTCCAGTCGGCGCTTCCGCTCGCGGCGGCAGGCCTCAGCATGGACTCCGCACAGGCAGCGGTGCTCCGCGGCGTCATAGTCGGGCTGCTGGCAAGGGCGCTTCCAGCGCAAGTGTGCGAGGCGCCCGTCGCTGCCCGTCTTCGCCAGGCGGTTGGCTGTCTCATTGCCGACGTTCCCATTGTGGCTCTTGACCCATCGGATGATCAGGTCGAAGTGGGGCTGGCACTGCTTCCATAGGTGGACCGCCAGCGTGGCAAGCTCGAAATTCTCCTTCGGCTGGATTGCCGCCTGCAGCAGATTTCGGACAGAAGTCGAGTCCGTGGCCACCACGATGCGAGCGCGGTCGCGCACCCGCGGCCCCGCCGATTTTCGCTGCCCCAAGAGCCACAGAAGCGTTTCCACAATGGCGGAGAGCTCGCCAAAGTTGAGAGAGATGCAGCTGGCGCCCACATAGCGCGCATCGGTCGGCACTGCGGTTACCTGACCGCAGGCCCCCAGCAGCGGCATGTCCTGGCCGTTGGGCTCGGCGACGCGGCAGAGCGCGAAGCCCCGGCCAGCGGCCTTGCATCGGCGGCGCCCTTGTCGCCCCCGCCCACGGCGTGCGGGCCCGTCCGTGAAGATCCCCATGGCGTTCGCGAAGTCGCCCTCGGCGTGCATCTGCTCGG